TGTCAATAATAGTGGCAATCATAGGAGGAACAGTATATGAGAACTCTCAACTTTTCTGTTCCAAAAAAATAAAGTCTATTAATTTGAAATATCACAGAAAGGACTTTCACAGTGACTTCAAGAGACATGAAATGAAATATTTAAACATATGCTTTAAAATATGTATGTACACAGTCTGCATGCTGAAAATTGCTAAATCAATTAAGGCCTAAATAATTAGAATGGCATACCATGTTCATGGACTGTAACATAGTGAAGACATCAGTTTCCCCCGAATTAATCCAAGGGTTTAATGCAACTACTAACAAATTCCAACAGTTTTTTTTTTCAATATGTACAAGCTTATTGTAAAATTTATACAGAATGGATCAGACCCTAGAATAGCTGAAATAATCTTTGAAAAGAACAATGAGGTGGGAGAAATCACTCTATTTGATATTAAAACTTACTACATAGAAGCAATAACTGAGACAATTGGATATTAGCAAATGATACATAGATTAGCAAATAGATACATAGATCAATGAAAAAGAAAGGATCCCAGAAATAAGTCTAAGCAAATACATATATTTCTCATTTAACAACTGAGTTCTGTCCCTGCAACTAGGTCATTAAATGAGTTGATAACTAAATGAGGAATTGTATATAATATGTACATTACAGTATTCAGAACAAAGAAATGGTCAAAGGAAACTCCAACTTGATGAGTTTGCCTTTATTTGCACAACTCTTGCTGCCATACTGTAATGTATAACAGAACATAAAGCTATAGTACTGTACTATATATACAGTATAATCAGTGAAGTTGCAGTACTGTACAAACAAGGTATAGTGTACCAAAAACAGATATTGAGGCTCTATAAATAAGATGTATAGAATTGTACCAAAAAATGGATTGTAAATTTGACCAGTGAGTGTTACGTCTTAACAGTGTCCTCCATCATAAGCCCACATAGTTATTAAACAGATAGGTTATGAATGAGGAATACTGTACCTGTATACCCAGCTCATTTGATGATCTTGCAACAACAGTGTAATGGAGGACAAGTCTTTCTATCAATTAGTGCTGAAACAATAGGATATCTGTAGGCAAAAAGAAAGAGGGAGGAGAGAGTGAGAGAGAAGGAAAGGAAGAAAGAAAGAAAGAAAGAAAAGAGGGAAAAAGAGAACTTTGACCTAAGCCTTGTACCTTATTAAAAAAACAAAACAAAACAAAACAAAAAACTGACTCAAAGCAGATCACAAAATTAAGTAGGAGAAACTTTTCAGGAGATAACACTAACTTGACATTAAAACCTCAAGCAATAAATGGAAACTTGATTAAGTAGGACCTGATAAAAATTAAAAATTTTATTCTGTGAAAGGCCCTGTTAACAGTATGAGAAGAACAAATACTTGCAAATCATGCATGCAAAAAAAGAACTCATTTCTAGAATATATAGAACTCCCAATGTCTGGCAATAAAACAAACAAACAAAAATGTCAAACAATTCAACTAGAATATAAGAAAAATACTCTTATTCCCTGCTATAATTTGGAACTGAAATGTCTCCAAAGGCCTGTGTATTAAAGGCTTGGTCTCCAGTCTGTAGTACTGGGAAGTGGTGGAACTTTAAAGGTGGGAGCCTAATGTAGGAACTTTAGGTCATTGAAGACATGACCTTAAAGGAGACACTTAAAGGGGGGGGCAACCCTTGGGAGAAACAGTATCAGATTTGTTTCAGTGGAGAAGGAGTTTTCATCTGACAAATAACATCACATGAAGAAGCAACAACTTCCATCTAGAGCTTCTCCATCTGCAAACATCACTCAGTGTCCCCCGCCCCTGGACTCCCCGCACATGACTTCAATAACCCTGGTCTTCCCTCACTGTGCTAGCTCCTTCCCTTCCTTAGCTGTGCTCCACCTGACTGCCTACTAATCTCCACCTTGAGTTGCAAATTATACACCACCATCCTCCCCCTCCCCATTACAAGGTGACCAATCAGAGGAAGTTGCCTCTCTGGCCAGGGGTGGGCATGTGACTCAAATTGGGCTAATCAAAGTTTTTGCAGGAGTTTCCTCTAGGGCCTCTGCAATTAGAGGCTCAGAGTGAGCCCTTAGCAAACTCCCCACAAGCCGTGTTCTACATATTTGATTCACAAGGACTCTAACCTGGGTCCTAGAGGAAGTAGCTGTGGTAAGGATGGTATATCACATGCCAAGTATATATGAGGCAAGGCAAAAAAGATTTCTGGGTCATGTTCCAGACAGCCCATGTTCTGTTGCAGGGACCCTGCACCTTCAGATGGACCAGCACCCTGGCCACATGATTACTGCCAGCCAAGGAAACCTCATGTGCCTCAAACAGCCTCCAGCGAAGAAGGGTCTACCTCGTCCTCTCTGGGAAGGGAGGTCGCAGAACCACACTCCACAAAGGCCTTCTAGGCTCCCCTGTCATTCATCTGCTGTGCAGAGTGTGGGGGACATAGTGGAGGATCCTCTTTGAGAGAGAGGTCAAGGATGGAGGGACTAGAAAAGTGTCATGGAGGAGGCCAGAGTCAGAGAGTGGGCAAGGCCAGGGGAGGACAAACCCTGGCCCAAACCAGCCTCTTCTGGTGAAAGAGAAGTTGGGTAGAGGTGGAAGAGCGGAACTAAAACCCTGGCCTGCTATCCATCAAATTTCTAAGCTACGGCCAGTGCCCAGAACCTCTACCTCTACCAGGGATGGAACCTCAACACTCTGAGGCAAATCAAGTTTGTTCCTTTTCCTCCCGACACAAGCATACATAGTGTTTGTCCCTCCCTCTCTCCTCCTCTTCCCTCCCCGACAAGGCACACCAAGCTGAGCAGAGCTGGCAGAGCAATTTCTCTGCCCTGCCTTGGTCACCTCACCAAGGCCTCAAGGCCCAATTTCTCCCTGCCCTGTCCCTGGCTCCAAGCCCCTCTGCTGCCCTGGGCAGCCAGGCCCAACCAAGGCCAGGCTGTTTTTGAAAAGTGCTGGGAGGTGGCAGAATGTGCGGTCTCCGAGTTCCCTCCAAACTGGCGCCCCAGTCCCTGGACAAACAGTGTCCGTGTTTGCTTGTCCACAGCAGCTTGTGTTCTTCTTCCAGGCCAAGTGATCCCAAGGGCAGAGGGCTGGCTGGAGGGTGGGCAGGCTGGAAGATATCATTGGCCTTCTGGGCCCACTGGGGAGAGTCAGGGACAGACAGGCGATGAGAGGGTCGGCCACCCACCCGCCCATCCTGCAACAGGGTGGTCAGGCCAAGGGTGACCCAGGAACCACACTTCCTTTACCTCTGCTGGCCACACAGGCCATTGTGCCAGGAGAGCTGGAATCTGCACTCTGAGGAGCTGCTGCCTTTCCCTGGCAGGTTCCCAGAGCTGCTGCTTCTCGCTGATGCTGATGCCAGTCAGAGAGCACTGAGAATGGACATGTGCAGGGTGGGTCCCTGTGCAGCACTATCTACCTGTGTGCTTTCAGGAATGTCACTGCTATTCTTTTTTTATGGAAAAGAAGTCAGTCCTCCAGTTCTACTACCCACCTAGCCCAGGGGCAGTAGAGGGTGAAGGCTAGGGCTCAGTTGGGACAGGGAAAGTTGGAGCAGAAAGACAGTACAAGGCAGAGACATAGGCAGCCAGGACCTGCTGCACCTCCTGCCCTGGTGGCATTGTCAGATATCTGCGTGGCTGGCTCTGTGATGTGGGTGAGGTGAGGTCTTGTGTGCCTGGGCCAAGGTGCTCTAAGCAGAGTTTGGGTCTGATTGACTATATTAAAAAGGAATTTTGCAGGGACAAAAGGCCTTTCCTCAGGCCATCTCAGCAGTGAGCCTTTCCTTCCCAGGCTATGGCCAGGGCATGGTAGAGGCTAGGACACTGGCAGTTCTTCCTGTTCCTAGCATGCAGTTTGAGGTGGGGCAGGAGTTAGGGCAAGCCTCTGTCTCTGACACTCCCCTAGTCAAAACCCTGGGTCTCTCCGGTGGGCACGGCTTGCCTCAGCTAGGGGGATGGTACCCTTTCCTGATCCCCACCTCAGGCCTCTGTGAAAAAGTGTACTGTCCGGCAAAGATCATAAAGTTTTAGTCATCAAATAGGCTTGCAGAACATTACCACCTGTGTCCCCTGACAGTGCACTAACACTTAAGAAACTCATCCTGGGGCTCAAGGCTCTGACGATTCTGCAACACAAGAACCTGCCTAACTTGGTTCTTCACTTGTTTCCCAAACTTATTTGATCATGGGTTCTCTTTGATCCTGCAACACCCATGAGAAGTGCCAGGGTGGGGTACCAGACCAAAAGACTGGGGGACCCTGGACATCAGTGTTCTTGCTTAAAAAAGATGGGCTCCAAGGATGGGCCCTCAAAGCTCTGGGTCATTGTATCTTTCCCAGAGACAACTGGCACAGCCAGTCACAGCCAGTCAGCCTTCCCACCGTAGCAGGCCAACCCTTGACAGTTTCCTCCCCAGAGAAACTGATTCCTCCCAGGGCCGTGCCATGGGCGCCTCTGTGCCTCCACAAAAAGAACAGGCAGCTGGCCTCTTTAGACAGATGTCCTGGGCAAGAACTTCCTGGCATTGCTGATGTGAACATTAGTGGCCAGAGAAAGAGGCTGAAGGGCAGAGACAGGCAAAAGACACCAAGGTGAGTCCCCATGGTTTATTACAGAAGCCTATAAGAGAGCCACACTAAGTATTTCCAAAATCACAAAATGCACAACATTCATTTTTTAATATGTAACATGGAATATTATATACAGACTAAAACCACATGACAGCAAAACCACTCACACGGCACCAGTTTCATATCAAAACAAAACACACAAGTGTTTTTTCAATATTAAAACAACTGTGATAAAAACATATTAATATTTTGACCATGTTTACAATAGAGAAAAATTCATATTTTACTAAATAACAAATATTTAACAGCAAAAACTTTATACTAAATATCTATTTTGAATTATAACAAAAATAGTACTTATAATAGTTTATAAAGACGGACACAAAATTATAACATTTACGAAAAAAAGTTTTGTGTATAAAATAATATTATAGTGATCCAGGCAGGGGTCAGAATGGTGCCCAGAACATAAACATCAGCGCCCAACATCGAAAGTGCTTCATTCTGCAAGCCCATGGCAGGAATTCTGTGGAGTTTTCTTTTTTATTATCATTACAATAGTTAGGAATAGTAAGTGAGAAAACATCACTCAGCTAATGCTACCATTATAGAACACACACACAAGCACAGGGACACAGAGACCTCAGCACAGATCTACAGAGGAGACGGAGGCGTGGTGGCCCCAGCGGAATCCTGCAGGCCAGTCAAGAGCTATCCTCACTCCTCTTCTTGTCACCTTCAGATCCAGCAGAGCAAATGATCCTTCCTTCCTCCTTCATAGGGATCCCCCTCCACTTTTCCTTCTCCACCCCCTCCCAGGCTGCCCCCTTAGGCGGCCACTGAAGCCTTCTAGAACATTCCAGCCACCACCCCCCCACCGGGGCTAGACTCCTCCCATTCTTAGCTGTTCAGTCTGCAACAAGTGGTTGAGGGCAAATGGGATCAATTTAAGGTAAATGAACCTTCCAGACACTGAGTTCTTTTTGTGGGTAACAGATTCTGGTGTACTGTTAAACTATTTTGCAAGCTTTGATGAGTCTTTACACATTTTAGCCTGTCTTTCAGAATTGGGAGGGGGAATTGCTGATTTTTTTAAAAATTTCAAACATTTTTGCTAATAGTACCTGTTCCATACTCGCTGTGTAGTAGTGAAAAGTAGGAAACATATGAAATATTTGGGGATGTGGGTTACAGGACATTCCGCGTGTGTCTATAAAGTCTGTAAGTCACCCTTCAGAGAGTTGAAAGAGGGCCTGTTGGGGGTTTACCCACTGGACACCACGGTGGAGGAACTGAGCTGCTCAGAGCAGTAGCTGGGGATAGTCATTTGCTGCATTCTTCTGTTTTTGATTTTCTTGAAAAGAGGATTCATTGCTATTACAACATCAAAAACCAACAGAGAAACACAGAAAGCAAAGAAAAATCTGAAAACAGACAAAATTGCTTACAGACTCACCAAAGGGCCCAAACCAACCCCAGGAGGTGTCCCAAACTGCCAACTTTCAAAATGCCAGTGGTGGGAGCTACTTCTCTTTCAACCAGTCATCCTGACTGGCCTGCCTGCAACCCAAATCACTTCTGACAAACCTCACATACGCTCCTCGGCTTGCTGCAGCCTCCCCCACAGTTGCCAGACCACACAGGCCTGAGTCAGTGCTGAGAGAGGACTGTCTCTACCTCACCTTCCCTTTGTTCTCACCTCCTCCTCACACCCCAGAGCTGGGCTCGAGCAAATAGTGGCACAGAGGTGGAAGGGACTTCAAGGACACCTTTCCAAGGGTTAAGGGCAAAGAGCAAGGTTAGGAAAGGAAGACGGAGGCCCTGGAGCCCCATCAGAAGAAAGAACCCGTATCCTTCTCCATACTCATTAGCAGAGCAGGGGGCACTGGGGTGAAGAATAGCCAGCTGGAATTGTAGCAGCCTCCAAATCCCCAAGATCAGGGCTTTTGACAGGATGGGGAGGAAGCAATGAGCCACTTTCCCATCTCCAGCAGGGGACAACAGGCAGAGACACTGGATTGTAGTCAGGTGGCAAGGCTCTGAGGTTAAATCCAATAATCTGTCTGGAGCCTAGGGGTGGGTGCTGTTCAACTCTCAACTAAGGGGGCTGGGTTTGACCAGCGACCCTTTCCTCTTCACTCCCGGAAGGCCTGCAAGGGGACAGCTGAGACAGAGGCTAGCAGATGCAGATGTTTATTCCAGAACTCAATGCAGCTGAGATCAGGGGAGCACAGGTTGCCATGAGCCCAGGGTCTTGGTTGTGTATGTGGAGCAGGGAAAGGGCTGACTCAGTGGAGTCCCATCTTGGGGAAAAGTTGGGATGTCAGTGTACCTGCCCAGGGCCACCAGGGAGAATGCTGGGGAGCAGGCCTGAGGCTCCTATGCCCCATGATCAGAGGAGAGAACAAGTAGCAGCAATAGGTAATTTCAAATGTCCAAACTGGCAGGGCAGGACAGGGGTGCTCTCCAGGCCATGGCAGCCCTGCCCCACCCACGCTGACTAGTGATGTTGACCTAGGACACTGCTCCTCAGCAGCCACAGTGCCAGAGGCACTGTTGGAGCAGTGGCAGGAGGGCTGGGAGCTGAAGAAAGTGTCAAGGTTCGGGCCTTTTCCCTCCCTCCCCTAGCACAATCTCCTGACTGCCCACTAAAAGACAAGGGAGGGAAGAGCCCTGGTCAGAAGGTCACAAGCACACACTTAGGCACAGTCCACTGACACATAACACTGGAACGGCATGCAGAGCCTGGCCAGGCCTCTCCCAAGAGCTAAGCTTGTGGGAAGTGGGGAGGCATTGGAGAGAGCAGGATCCAGGAGGGAAGCCCTGCCCCCAGAAAGGACAGGGCCCTTTTGGTGTTGGGTAGGGTTTGCCAAGAAGGGGGACCAGAGTAGGGCAAGTATGGGGGCCACTGGCCCTCCCTGATTCAGCCCCCTTGAACACACAGGTTTCTACTTCCACTGCCCCCACTCCCCTGTGGGCTGACTGAGGCTGGGCGTGGGCCCAAGCCCCACTACTACACGGTAGCGCTCAGCATGGCCTCAGTCTCTGGCAGAATCTTGTTCTGGTTGGAGTCCAGGCCAAAGAACCTGACACTGAGGCCATCCACGGGGTGCAGGACAGGGACTAAGGTGATACGGGGGAAGGTCCGGGTGGCCAGCTCAAAGCGGCTGGTGCTGGCCAGCTCTACCGCCAGCAATTTCAGGAAGAGCTTGGCCAGGTGCTTGCCCAGGCAGGTCCGGACGCCACCACCGAAGGGGAGGTAATGGAAGCGGCCATCCTTGTCTTCACTCCGCGCCTGACTGAAGCGGTCAGGGTCAAACACATTCACGTCTTTGAACACGGGTGCTGTGTCATGGGTATCCCGGATGCTGTACATGACACTCCAGCCTTTGGGGATCTGGAAACCCTGGAACAAGATGGAGGTTGGGGAACAGGGTGGTGAGAGCACTGCCTGCCTGCCTGCCTCTTCCCAGAGACACCTCCCAGGGTCTCCACTCATTGTGTTAGTCCAGGCTCCTACTCGTATATGGCACATGTGGCACCCCAGATTGCTTTCAACCCACTCTGTCTAGGACTGCATCTCTCCCAGGGGACTGAAAGCTCCGAAATGAACCATTGCCTTCCTGCCAGACAGTGGTAACCCACAGGATATTTCCCAAAGGTCATCCCAAAGCCCAGGCAGCACCCCAGGGGCCCCTCCGCCTCAGCTCCATGGGGTCCAGCCTCACATCGAGCTCGAAGGTCTGCAGCACAGTGCGGTAGCCACCAGAAATGGGTGTGAAAAGACGCATGACCTCCTTAATAACGCAGTCCAGATAGCGCAGCCCGCTGAGTGTGTCCAGGCGCAGGGTGCCCTCACAGGGGCAGCCACCACTGTGCAGGATGCCCTGGGTCCGCAGCTCCTCTCGAAGTTTCTCCAGCACAGCTGGGTGCTTCAGCAGCTGCATAATGAGCGAGGTACTGGCGCTGGCCGTGGTGGCATAGGCTGCAAAGATCAGTTCCAGGGTCCCATCCTGCAGCAGAAGAGAGGGGAGGAACCATTGACAATCTGGGGCCAGCCAAATGTGACAGCCCTATTCTGCCAGTGTCCCTAAGGTCATTGCTAAGTCCTGCCTGCTTCTTACTGCCAGTTCTACTTCCCTGGGCCTGAAGTGCTAAAGCTTCAGGCCCACCATGGGCACAGGGGTCACAGCTAGTCCCTTGCTGGGCAAGACACACATAAGGCAGAAGTATTGCCTGTTGGTGCCTTAGGGTAGGGCTGCCTTGCTCACTGCCAAGTGCTGAGCCAGCTGCAGCAGGCATGGTCAATGCAGGGAGCTCACAGAAGAAAAAGGGCAACCCCAGGAGCTGGGCAGTGTGTGTGTTTGCGCGGAGGATGACATGGAGGATAACAGGACCTAATCCCTGGAGCGGGTGGGGGTGGAGCCCAAGTTAGGTCCCATTGCCCCCTGGGGCTGTCAGGCCTCTAGCAAATGGCTTTCCCACTGGGCCTACATTTCGTTATGTAGTGAATATGGGGGGAGTAGGGGTTTCAAGGCAGGAAGGAGTCAACAAGACATAGACACTGAGGCTAGTCAGCAGAGTAAAGGGAATTTTTAGTGACTTTTTAAAAGCAGTATGCATGATGCCCAGCCGCTAAGAGGACCCACTCACTCCACAACTATGGTAAAGTAGGGTGGTCCTGAACATACTTCACAGTAGGGCAAGAACACGGCTCTGTGTTCAGCACCCGCCAGCTCAGGTACATTGACAGCCAGCACTGCTCAGGATCATGTGCAGAGCAAGACCAGTATGGGGAGAAACGGCCAGGCACTTTCCCATCCAGAACAGACTATAGGTACAGGTGCTGCCACCAGAGGAGCCCCTCACCTTCAGCTCCTGCATAGTCATCTCCTTCCCATGCTCCTTGCTGCTTTCAATGAGGATGTCCAGTGCATCTGAGTAGTCCTTGCCCTGCGTGCACTGAAGCTTCTCCCTGATGGCCTTTTCCAGGCCCTTCTGCAGAGTCTGCCGAGCCTGAATGCCCTGTAGGGAGAAGGGACCAGTAGCCACAGTAAATGCAGGGCTTCCATCTGACCTCAGGGTTGTCAAGAGAAGGCTCCAGCCCACACTCCCGCTGAAACCTCTCCCTCTCTCCCTCTCCCCTCTGTCCATGTGCCTGTGTGCCCAATGTCCCAGTGGTCAGCACTACCACCCCCAGGATCCCTTCCAGGCCCTGGGTGCTTACCCGCCTGTAGCCACTGAAGGGCAAGTCAACAGGGAGGGAGAAAACATTCTCCACAAATTGCTGGTAGACCTCAAACAGGTGCCCAAGGTCCTCCTCAGGGATGCTGAAGCCCAGAAGCACCCGGATGGCCATGCGGAAGGTGAGTTTCTGTGCCTCTTGGTACACATTGATGGCTTCGGGCTGGCTGCTCCAGGCACGCAGTGTGTCCTGGATCACCAGCTGGATCTTGGGTAGGTAGCTCTCCAGGGCCTCATGGCTGAAGATCTTGGAGAAGATCTGGAGGGCAGAGAAGCAGGCTGAGGTTGGTTTCTAAGCTGATGCAGACCCCACTCTGATCAGGTGAGATACAGAGCCCAGACCAATACAGAGACATTTCCATTCTTACTCCCTCCCACTGAGCTCCCAGAGTTCTCCAGACATGTCCCCTTGTAGGTCCCCTACTCTATCTGAACCCCCATTCCACTCTGTCTGGAGGAAGGCAAGAAAGACCAAGATTAGATAGGAAATAGCTCATAAGCACTTTTATTCAACACTGGGACCTTCCACATACTTCACAGGGTAACCTGAACTGTCACCCACATTTTTAACCCCCAGAAAAATATGCATACCCTCAAACAATGGCAAAGCCTTGGGGACTGCACAGTCCAGCTACCACCAAGTCTGAGAGGCTGTGGCTATCCCAGCCTTGGCAGGGGACAATAGGGCCTGAATGGGGCAGGAGCACAGAAGCTGCCTGTCCCTTGCAGTGGCCCATTAGCCAATTCTCAGGCACTGAGCCAGAAGTTTGCAGGAGAAGTGAGACACAGGAAGGCACCAACACAGGGAGGAATGGGAAGACAGTGAGGGGCTATCCTCCAATAGTGAGAGGGCAGGAGTAACCTAAGGCTGGATGGCCAGCAAGACTCCTGGGAACCAAAACTGTTCTCAAACCCTGCAAAACAACCGCTGGGCGTAGATACTGAGAGTTTACTAACAGCTGTGCCATTAAAATGTCTTTAGTGTGGCCAGATCTGGAGGCAAGGGGATGGGGGCAATAACTCTCCACCTTAAATGATTCCAAAAAACAACAGAAGCCCTTTTAATTCCTTGCATCTTCTGGGACAATTTTAAGTAGCCAAGGAGTCCCTGTGTCCACCTCCCCTGCCTTGTGCCCTCCCAATTGGCTGGGCAGCCCCTCCCCATAGGCCCTCCCACCAGCCCCCTGCACATGTTTTCCCTGCTGCTACCCTCAGTGCACAGGAGAGAGAGGATGTTAGTTTATTTACTGTCAGCCTGTGGGTCTCCCTTATATCCAACAAACTCCATCTCCCCAGGTCCAGAGCAGAAGAGGGTACCCTCCACAACCAGAGCCAAAGGAAAGGTCATCTGGTGGAGAAGAGCGGGGCAATGCAGAGGAAAGAGCCCCCACCCACCACATGCAAACCACACACACGCGCCTGCCCCCCAAACACAACCACTGCACAAACTGTAAATGTGAGAATTTCCCCTGCAGTCAGCTCAAGGAGGAAAAGGTAACATTTTCCTGGCCTGAGCCCTGCATGGCTAATGGGAGGGCTGGTTTGCAGAAATAACAGTGCTGGCCCTTCAGTGGCCCAGCCAGCATGCACAATAGCACTTTCATTCCGAAAGTCCTGGTGGGCAGAGGGAGGGGGAGAGGGGCCAGTGAGGGGCAGAGAGACCTGCACTGTTCAGGGCCGCTCCTGATACAAAGGGATAGCTAAAAGGTAGAAGGATGATAGGAGGTCACCTAGGTCAGCTCAGGCCTAGACGGGTTACTCACACCTTGGCCAGTTCTGGGGGCTTCAGGGAATTTAGGTGGGGGTAAGGAGTAATGGTTAAAAGGCAGAGTTGTAAGTCTCAGCTTTTCACTCTGGTATCCTTAGGATTCTAGGCTTAGCCCTTGGGGTTTTGTGGAATGGAAGCAGGCCCTGCTCCCACAGCTCAAAAGTGGCAACTAAGGCCCTGATAAAACAGCAAAGAGTCCATGTGGTAAACAGAAAGAGGCACACAGGAGCTGAGCAGACTCACCAGAGAATAAGACAAGAGTTTCATAAGGTCTGTGTCCAGGCCTCTGTGGGGAGGCTATCAGTGGGACAGGAGGCCATACTTGCCCAGAGCTGGCCAGCCCAGCATACACTAGAAGCACTGTCATGGATAGGATGAGGGGAGAGGATGGCCAGACCCCCAACACACACGAGACCTGGGCCCAAAGATATGAAAGGGAACAGGACAGAGTCCATACTCACTGGGACTAATCAAAGTTAGACTGGGTGCCCAGAAACCTAAATTTTAACCAGGTTAAACTTATGTGACCATGGCAACTCACCGCCCCTGAGCCTCAGTTCCCTTATCTGTAAAATGGTGAGGCTGAACCACGTGACCTCTTGGACTCCTTGAAACCCACAGAGCACCTAAACCCCTACACTTACTTGCTCTTGGTAGAAGCTAATCCCTTCGAAGCAGCCCAGAGTCCAGCAATAATCAAGCCACCAGGAGAAGTACCCGCAAGGCCCCACTTTCCTGCCTCACTTGGGCCACCCAAGAGCCTCCACTGTACTCTGAGAAGTGGCCAAAAGGACCACTGACAAGCCCTGCCTGCCCCAAAGGTTACTTTCCTTGCGCCCTCTAGTGACAATCGGCTGAATCACTGCTCTGGCTCTAGGGCCCAAGAGGGCAGGGACAACCCAGGAAGATAGAGGATGTAGGTCCAAGGGAACCTAGGACTGGACAAAGGACTTCAAGACAAGGATCTACACTTGGCCCTCGGGTGAGACAGAGTCATGAGCTAGACTGAGAGTCTGCTGCTATCCTACACCAGTCAGAACTTGAAGCCAAGCCCAGAGCGCTTGTCTGGACCCACCTCCACCTCCCCCTTGCCAACTGACAGCTAGTAGGTGGCTACCCTTCTTGGTTCAGTTTCTTCACTGGTTTCATGGGGGCTCTAAGTAGATGTACTAAGGTCCTTCTCCACCTAACCATCCTTTAATTCTCTTCAGAGCCCCCCTGAGGAGGAGAAACTACCCAAATGAGAAGCCAAGGTGAAGTGATTGGCAGGAAGTCCAGCACCAGGCAGGCTTTGCTCAAAGGTCACCAGGTCCATGTCCCTGCTGCTGGCCCAGCTGTTCAAGAGGCACTGAGGCCTCCCAGGCACTGGGAAGAATCCAAGGCTTCATCCCTGGATCTGTGTCCACAGTTAGCAACATGGGCACTTCCCAAACCAGGGCAGCCCAGAAACCACCGCCCACCACAAAGGACAGACGGAGGCGGAGATGCTGGCCAGGGCAGAGGGAGGCTTGGACTGTGTCGGGGAGGGTTGGGTCTGAGGCCACAGCCTGCAAAGGTCGGGACTCAGGCACACTGGGAAGATGCCCAGGAGCAGCTCAGTGTGGAGAGAAGAAGGGTTCCGGCCCCCAGAGCTGACTGCCCTGACCACAGTCTTCATGGGAGCCAGAGCTGCTTGATTTCCCTCTGGGGCTTCCCTGGGAATTCCCAAAAGTGAGCTGAGAATGCCGGACAAAGGTCATTGGTAACCAGCCCAGGGCCAGGCAAAGACCTTCAGAGGGAGCCACAGGTATGGACTTTGCACAGAGTTGTTGTGGGGGCAAAAGGGGGTGGTATGGAAGGATCTGTGGACTATAAATTACCATCCCAGTGTACCTGTGGGAGCTGCGGGGTAGGACAAAAGCAGGAGGGAGGGTAACTCAGATAATCCCCCACCCCCCACCAGTTTCCCTAATGACACAATCTCAAGAGCCCATATCCCTGATTCTCTCCCTCCCTAACAGAAGCTAATTGTACCACAAGGGTCTTGGGTACCACCCAGGGCTGTCAGGGCCTAAATTCCCTATAACTGTCCCAGCCAGGCCTCCTCACTCCTCTCACTTCCCTGCCAGTGCTCCTTGTGGGGGTCACTCTGTAAACCCTCACAGTTCCATGTGGCCAGATTCACAACTCCCCCAATCTGTCAGCTGTGGATGGGTGGACAAATGGATGGGTGGCTGCAAGAGGGGGCAGAGCCAGGGAGAAAGCCCACTGCCCGGCCGGCCAGTGACTCAGACTGGGAAGAATGGAAGTAGCTGCCCAGGAGGGGTGGGGACCCAGGCAGGCCACCCAGCCAAGCCACTGGAGCCTCAGCCTGCAGAGTGGAAAGAATAACAGAAGGCAGGCAGTCGCTGAGGCAGCTGTCCGCACAGGGTGACGCCAAGGTGTGTACTTTATAATGGTAAGGAGGGGGACAAGAGGACATCATCCTCCAAATGGCCTGCGTTTCCACTGGGCCTTGGCTTCACTCTGAGCTAGTCTCCACAGAGTGCCTCAGGTAGGGAGGGGCCAGCCTGGACATCCCTTTCCCCAACCTGTGCACATTTCTTCCCTGCATTTGGGGTGCACAGTGCCTGTTCCCCGTTTGACTCCAACTTTCATCATTAACCCCACTGCTCTAACTCTTTAATACACATAAGCAAAGCATGTGGTGGCAGAGGAGTGGCATCACTTGCAGATACCTGCTGAGCTCCTAACTGGAAAAGATTTGCCCAGCTGCTCTTACCCTCTTCCAGCCAGCAGGAACAGCCCCACCACCACCCCAGAAAGCAGAGACTCAAAGGGAAAGTGCCTTCCCAAGGTCACAGTGCAGGCACAAATGGCCACACCCAGGAGTATCCCTGAAGGCCCTGCCTCCCACCACTCCAAACTCCAAGGAGCTGCCCTCCACCAGCCCTGGCAATCTCTAAATTTATTCAAATCCTGAAAGGGATCCTCTTCCATAATCAAATTGATATGAAAGGTGAGACTAGCTATTCTGGATGATGAGGATTGTTCTCAGCATTTTTCAGGCCCCTGGAGCCTCTTCCTTTATGGAAGGCCACCTCCTGGGCACAGGGTGCTCTGGCCCAGTACAGACCCCAGCCAAGCCTCCTTACTCCCTACTAAGGCCATGTGTGTCTTCCAAGGTTGGGAGAGTGAACAAACATCAATCAGCACCACGGCCTTGTATCCCTCTCCACCCTGGAAGGACACAAAAAGGAAGAAGGTGGCCCCCATACCCAGCCCACCCACACTCCCACTACCTGGCACAAGGGCATGAACAGGGAGGCACCCATGCCCAGACACTCTGGCAGCTGACTGTGAGCTTCCTCCCCCACTGACCTTCAGAGAGATCCCATCCTGCCTCTCATCCTCTCAGCAGCCGGTGCTGGTGCTACAGTAACTTTTGGGTGAAGGACTTCAGCTGACAGAACAAAGAGTCTGTGCCTATGCCAGGATCTGGAGCACAGCTCTCAGTAGCCGGGCTACTTGGCTATGTACCACCTTCCCATCTAATCAGCCGGAGTTTCTGCCCTAAACTGAGCCTGGACGAGGCTGTGCAACCAGAAGCTGTGCCTTAGCTCCTAGAGCCGGATGTGGGCTGGCTTCCCCCAGGACCTGCAAACATGGGCATCCTGGCTCTGTCAGGGCCACCTCCTGGTCTTTCCAACCTAATATAAATCCCAGGTTGTACACTGGGTTTCTGAGGTGAGCACACTGATCCTGAGCCTGACCACGTCCCCCCTCCCAACTCCAGGCCCAAAGACCAAGTCAGTGAGAAACAGGAGGTGGTTTCTTAATCCCTATACCTCTGAAACTTGGTCCCCCACCTCAGCTTTAGGCACATTGTTCTGTATGCAGGGGCCTAGGTAGAAAGGACAAGCACACCACTAATGTGTCTCCCCATTTCCGGGACTCCAAGGCCAGATGCATTTCTGTGATGTTCTCTGGGTTCCATGAGGGTATCACAGGGCCACTATGGGGGTGTATTGAAACTGCTAATCTCTTGGTGCCCAGGTCCAGCCCTATCTGCCAAGAAAATGAGAAAATGCCCAATCTCGCTTTGTGGAACTGGATACTAGAGGCTTCCAGACCACCACCAACTCCTCCACCTCTCTGACAATCCTCTTATTCCTACCTGCCCAACCAGACTCTATCTGCCTTTCTGGGGTAATACCCAGCCTCTCTACACTCTCCATCAGAGAGGCACCATAGCCTCCTCCCCAGTTCAGGTGGGAAGGCTTCTGAGGCCCCAGCTTCCTTAGGTGATGCCGTTAGACTGGATGAAACTTTCTGGACTTTCTCCCTGACCACCCCACCCCTGCTGGCTCTAGACCACCAGAGCAGCCAGGGCAAACAGCTGAAAGTGTAGTGATGGTAGTGAGGAGCTCTCCCTCCCTACACATTTGGTCAGACCTCCCAGAGAAGGGGTGGGCCATCAGCCCTAATGGAAACAGTGATGCTTCTGGTTCGCTGCCAGCCTGGGCCCAGCACACCTGGGCCCTAATTCCTGCATGTGCATCCTAACTGGGTCCTGCCCTAGCTTAGCAGCCTGCTGTCTAACCAGGCCCTTGGCTGCAGCATGGGCTGGTTAAGGTAGTGTGAGTGGTACCTGCCACCATCCTGGCCACATGGTACCCCCCCCCAGGCTGTGGGTCCAGAAGACTGGCAACAGAGATATTCATAAACAGGGCCCTGAGTATTCCCTTCTTATCCCTCCCACAAGGTCTACTTCTTGAGGGCAAAAATGAGGTTTCCTGCTTCTCTAAATTTAAACCAAGATCTTCTATATAGTTCAGGAAACAGGATCATGGATCATCAATTAGGGAGATTTGAGGGAAAATTCTGTAGTTTGTCCAACTTCTCATATGGCTCACACACATGCCACACAGCAAACATAAAACTAACACACACAAACAGGGCCCTTGCATGGGGTTCTCAAGCCTCTGTCAAGGTAAACTGGCTTCTGGAGATTCTTCACCTTCAAGGAGCTCGAGCACCAGGAACTCAAGACATGAAGACCATGGATTCCTTGCCATAGCCCTACTTCTCACCCCCATCCCATTTGTCTCTCTTTTGGTCTATGTATTCCTCTAGCACTGCTTACTTAGGGTATCCCTTTCCTTGTCCCCTTGCCTCCAAATGGACAATGCAAGTTAACACACACACACACACACACACACACACACACACACACACAAAACAACTCTGGTCTTTCCAGGTCCTCCCCACCAGGCACCTGATTGCCTGAGGCCAAGTGAGACTGAGGGTGGGAAGGCAAGGCAACAGTCTCTCTCCCTAAAGCCTACTGCACCCCCGGGGCCTCAAACTCTAGTCCTAGCCAAGCTGACCTCTTCCCAGCATCCAAATGTGCAGGACTGAGTAGGACTACTTCTGTTGCAATCTCTGCCCAGCCTTTACTGCTTAGCTTGCTCCAAGTCTCACTCAGTCTAAGTCTCATTGTTCCCTTCTGTGTCAAAGCCTCTGTAAGGGGGAAATGAGGAAGCAGGCATATCATTTGGCATTTGGCCCTGAGTTCCTGATTCCCAGTTCTTTCCTCATTCTTTTGAATAGGTCTTTGGTAGAGTCCCAGAGACTAAAGAGAAAATCACCGTGCAAAAAGGAAAATCCCTTATTCCTAAGTTTACAGGTCCACCTAGCCACTCCTCCAGAACACCTTTCCCCTTTTGTCCCCAAGCAGATTTAACTGCTTCCAGCTTAGAGCAAGGAAGATGCAAGAGGACATTTGGGCGCCCCTTTCCAGTTCCTGAAACACACTCTATAGGGACACACACACCAGACGCTTCCCTTTGATTTCTTCTTTTGTCTGCAACGAAGAATTACCCTTCATACGCATCAAATACTACGGGGTGCTTAGGCGAGTACAGAACTCCCTACATTACCAACAGCGTCTTCCACAGACTTCTGATGGAAGGGCTGCCCCTGCCCCCGACCCCTCCCCCGCACTAAACTACTGCTCCGGGAGCTAAGAGGCCACTGCTTCCTTTCCTATAGGTTCCAAACCTGGGTAAGTCCTCTGACCCAATGGAAAAACGGAGTGGGGGAGCCCTGCAGCCTCCTTTCTGGCTGCTTCAGGCCCGAAGGCTGGTACCCCGCCCGCCGGCAGGCTCAGCTTTCGGGTTACTGCAGTTCAAACAGCACGTGCCGCCCGCGCTCCCAGCCGCCGCGTCCTCCGAGCCTGGAGGGGGCGGGGAAGCCTGCTCTGCGCACTGGCTAGCCTCCTCTGAGCCTCTTCCAGTCGCTCGGGAAATCCACCGGATAAACACCCACTTTCTCTTCCTCTTTGAGGGATGAACTGCGCTTTGATCCTCCGCCCATGCCTCGGCTGCTAGTCCACCCCTTGCCTTGGCCCCACTGTCCAGTCGGTGTGCGCAGATACCTCTCTAAGACAAGGTTCACCAGCCCCTATCCACACGGTGGCCCCAGCTCCCCCAGCACGTGTCTGCGTTGCCCTCAAAGTAACCTGTGGCTGAAAGGCCAGCTTAGCTTTTAGAATGATTAGTCCTTGGAATTTCCCCCAGAGATGTGGGGAAAAGGGAAGCCTGGGCCAATTGCCCCCACCCCTCCAGCCCTTCTTTTTCCAGTTTTGTGGAGTACTGGGAGGATCAGAATTGGACATCTCAGTCCTCACACCGTCACGCTTTTCCAAAACCACTCCCAAACAGGTCTCAGTGGGTTTTGGAGTGCCCACTGCACTGATGGCCAGCAAAAGGGGGGACAAGAAGGAGGCCTTTTGAGGCCCTTAATCTGGGCTGGCAGCCATCTAGACAAGAAAATGAGGGGTCCTTATTGGGTGTTGCACCTAAGAGTGCGCGGATTGAAGTGGGGACGTTTCTCTGGCTCTTTGAACTCCTGACCCTAAGAAGGGTGCAGAAGCAGTCGGTGCTCTTACCTTGCGCTTGTTGCGGTGGATGTCGCCGATGGAGTTGGCCACCGTGTTGGGACCCAGCAGCATGCGAGTGCTGCGCGGCCACTCGGTGCTCACGAGATGGTGCTCGCCCATGAGTATCTTGCGCACATTCTCCGCACCGGTCACCCTGATCAGCGGCCGCCCAAGCAAGTGTGTCTTGAACACGTTGCCATACTTCTCCCTCCGCGACGATTGGAAGCCGGAACCCTGCGAGAGCCACATGAGAGACCTCTCTCAGGGCTCATAGAGGGTTTGCCAGACAGGGGCAGCGGCCCCAACCCGGCCCCAGTCATCAACAACCCCCTACCCTCTCCTCCAGCACACACAGACACACACGCAGGTTTTATTTTTCATAGCGTGCACAAGGACTGGGAAGTAGGGCCTAGAGGATAATAAATGTGCGAGGAGGCTGGAGGCCCAGGGGCAGCCCCCTGGGAGACTGTTTTTAGTAACGACTTTCGGGAGGGAAAAGGTATCCCGAACCGCTGGATCTGAAGTTAAGGCCTCCGCCCCTCCAACCTCCCACCCCCACCTCGCGCACTCAGGAGCCCTTCGGAATAAATATTTCCAGGCTTCTGGCCACGGGCTGGCGAGACCCCGCGGGGTGGCCGCAGGCCAAAGATTATTTATAGTGGTGAGCGGTCCGTGCCTGGAGGCAGTCACTAGAATTGGGGGTTGGCGTTTCCTCCATCTCCGGTGTGGCCCGCGCGGGGATCTGGCGGCCCTCGGACGGCTCTGCAGGGTGGGGTCATGGGCCGAGAGCCGAGATTTTCCTAAAGCATTTTGCCCTGGAAATAACTGA